CAGGTGCTCTTGACTTCAGGGCCAGTGCTTGAAGCTAACTTTTTATACCAATGTGTAAGACTTTACATTTATCTCTTTTGAATTTTAGCTTATTTGATTCAGCCCAGTGCTCTTGCCTGTCAAGATATTTGTGGATCTTGACTCCATCACTCATTGAGTTATCTATCCCTCCCAGCTTTGTGTCACATTTGAAAACCTGATAAGCATGTTGTCTGTGCTGTTATACAAGTGTAAGGTGTGTGTGTGTGTGTGTGTGTGTTGTCCATGTAGGTTATATTCATCCACATGAGTTTGTCTAAATGCAGCTCTAAGGTAGGTGTGAATAGATATCTCTCAAATCTCACCCACCTGTCTGCAAGGGGGCCTGGAAGGGTGTAAGAGGTTAGGGCTATGAGGCTAGCATGCTTTGCTCTACTTAGAGAATGTTATATCTCTCTGACCCCCATCCCCTAAGCATTTCTAGTCTAGGGGCAATGAGTTTTTGGATTCATGCCCCTTTGCTATTCCTTAATTGTGATAGCAATACTCCCTGAAGTATTTAAAAGCTTGACTCTCTTCCCACCAAATGCTAATTATACAAAGACCATCAAAAATACTGAAGAGTCAATAAACTCATTTATCCAAGAAGAGAGCAAACAGAAATCAGGAAAATTACAGATTAGAATATACCAGACAATACACAGAGTGACTGAGCTCTCCCACTGGAAATGACATATCTCAACTCAACTATGAGTCCCTAATCTTACCCAAAGAGAAGTTCCCCAGTCTCTAGGTTGGCAGGCTAGAAACAGGAACATGCTTGAGGTGCTGGCTCTTCTACTTGCTGATTTCCAAGAGACTTTCGTCCTCCAAGAACCTTTCTCTTGAAGAGAATCTGGAATCATGTATTTTTCCTCCAGGCCAGATACAAAAAGAATGAACTTTCTTCACTCAAGCACTTGCTAACTCAACCCCTCACACTAACATGAGGTATCGAGTAGCCATTCTCTCTACCAATGAGGAGAATCTTATACAAATGTCTAGGCTTGAGCCCCTGGTTACACAAGTAACTAATCAAAATGTTAAATGGCACAGGGCCAAGCATAGACCTTATGAGTACTCTGCTGTAGACCTTCTCGACATTGACATTAAACTATTAACAACTACTCTTTAAGTCCAGTGATCCAACCATTGTAATTGGTACATGGTAATTTGTAAATGGTAATTATCATAAAGTATATATCTCTCCATTATTCTCCACAAAAATAATAAGTCAACAAATGATGGAGGAGTTCAGAAGACATCAGTTAACAATTAAATTCAGAACATATAAACTTTAAAAGATTGCAATGCAAGGCAGTGATGAGTATTAAAAGATTGGCAGCAAAACAAACCTTCACTTCCTTTTCTCTTACCTCTCAACCTTCTGCAATTTGGCTTCTGACCCTATCACCCAACTGAAACTTCTCTCTCCAACATTACCAGTTATCTCTTAATTACCAACTCATAAGATCATAGAACTTAGGGCAAGAAAGGAGTTCAGAAGTCATCAAGTCTAACACCCTCATTTTACAGATGAAGAAGCTGAGACAGGTTAAGCATTTTGCCCTGTATCATGTAGGATTAAAAAAACCTAGGTCTTCCTGATTCCAAGTCAAGAACTCTGTGACATCATGCTACTTTCTCAATCATTGTCCATTCTCTTTGACCTCTCAGTAGCATTTAATGTTGTTGACCACACTCTCCTCCTGAATGCTCTGCTCTCTAGGGTTTTGTGGCATTGTTCTTTCTTGTTTCTCCTGTCAGTTCCTTATTTTTCTTTCCTAGATCATCATCAGTCTCCTGCCCCTTAACCATGAGTGTATTGTTGAAAGGAAAATTCTTCATTTGGGTTGTCACCCTAATTATTGAGGCAAAACTCAGGACAAAGACAATTAAAAGGATTTTATTATGAATACGTCAAGGTAGTGACACCTTGACAGGCTTATCATAGAAGATCAGCACTGGCTTCAAGGAGGGGCCAGGCTTTATGGATAACTTGAAGACAATTCAGATAGGTCCACCTCAGCAGAACAGGTTGAGCCCTTGCATCTCAGTTCCTCCCCAAGGTAGCAAGAACAGTGAAAATTTGCAGGTAGGGGTACAAAGGTCACAGGTGGGGGTATGTGTGACAAAGAGTAGGTAATACAAAAAGCTGCAGACTTGGTGTCACCTTCCCCAACACAGATTGACAAGCAGGGCTGGGAACAATAGGTCACTGAGTCAATAAAACTTTCAGTAGTACCCCAAGACTTTGCCCTGTGTTCTTTTCTCCGCTTGTATCCTCCCACTTGGTGACTCCATTAGCTCTCATGGATTTAATCATCTCACCTGTCTGCAGATCCATATATGAATGAATGACTGAATGAATAAAGCATTTATTAAGTGCTTAGAAAGTGGAAGGTACTTTGTTAAGTGCTGAGGAAATAGAAAAGTAAGGCAGTCTCTGCTTTTAGGGAGTTCACATTCTAATGGGAGAAACAACAAAAATAGAAGATTTCAAATATAAGTCAGAAAGAAAAGTCCTTTGGCCCTTGGGGTACAGCAACAAAACAGGGTGGGGGGCTACATCTACCTAAATCCTTTTGTCTCCCTGCAGAGTATGCTTCCCATGTTATTATTAAGTAAATGCCTTTTTCTCAACAGTTGGATGGGTGACAATTGTCTCATTTTGTTCCAATCCTGAAGCTGAACCACCAGACCATTCTGAGTCAGGTCTGGCCCACGACAGAGGTCAACAAGAAAGAACCATCTCTTCCAGCTCTAATGTATGGTCCTATGAAACTGGAACAATGGACAAAGGAAAATGACACTAATCTGTCAGAATTCTTTTCATAAGATACATTGGTCAAGACACTTCCAGTTCAATTGTGTGTAATCTAAATAGGCAGTATAGGTATGGATCCACCCTTCACTGGGTCCTCTTCTATAGATTTAAAAGATCTCTTGATGGGACAAAGTGTGAGGGGAAGGCAGTAAGGGGAAATCTATGTCAGCATACCAGGTAGGAGAGCAAGGGGATATCCATACTACATATACCTATTGGATGCCATAGACAAACTTCAACTGAGGTGACTATAGCTGAACAATTTGCATATTTCAGTAATTCAAAAAACTTAAATGAGCAGAATATGAATATGAATATGAAGTTAGCTAGAAGAAGGAGGTATAAAGTTAGGAGGTTGATGAGAGTATACAATGCTAGGAAGTCAGTGAAGAAGGAAGTCAGTGAAGTACCACGTTAGTCAATAAAAATTTATTAAGCATATGCAAGTCACTGTGCTAAGCTCTGGGGGAAATAAAGGCAAAAGAGTTCCTTCTCTGAGTGATCTTAGAATATGATGGGGCAGATAACATGCAAACCACTATTTACAAATAAGCTATATATGAGATAAATTGGGGGTATCAATACTGGAAAGGCACTGGAACAGGACTGGAAAAGTAGGCTGGAATTAAAAGGGCCTTAAATGCCAGCCAGGCTGAGGTATTTGTATTTTATCTTAGAAGCAATAGAGAGCCACCACTAGGGCTTTTCGAGCAGAGAAGTGACATGGTCAGAAGCATGATTTAGGAAGATCCCTCTGGCAGCTATGGGGGGGATGAATTGGAGAGAGACTTAAAGATGCAGAGAAATCAACTACAAGGCTATTGAGCTAATCCAAGAAATTTACAAGGGTTCTGGCTGTGGGAGTGGAGAGAAAAGGACAGATGTGAGAGATGTTGTAAAGATAGAAATGACAATATGACAATGGGTGATTGCTTGGAGATGGGCTTTGAATGGCAGCCTGGAATAATGGGAGTATCCCTGACAGATATAAGGAAGAAGGAAAGGTGGCTTGGAGGTGGGGGATAATCAGTTATATGTAGGAGAGCCCTCAGGACTTAAAGGAAAATGGATTTATCAAATTTCTGGGTAGGACCTTGTGGCAACAGAAATGGGGCACCCCTCAAGTTGACTCTTGCTTCAAGTTAGTATGTTTTTTTGTGGGGAGTTTGAATTTAATAACTTGATCATATCATATTAAAGTTTACAGAGAGCTTGCCTCAAAAGAGTCTGTAAATGATGGATAGTACAAAGATTTCTACTCCCACTTTACATAATGATCCTCAGAGACACAGAGTGACATGCCTAAGATCCCATAGCTAAGAAAATCATAGAATCAAGATTTGAACTCTGGGCTTCCAACATCAAAATTAGAGCTCTTTCCACTCTGCCACACTGCCTGTCAGGGTGGTATAATCCAAGGGGGCTAGATTTGGCATCAGAAAGCCTTTGTTCCACCCCTTGCCCTACACAACCTTAAGCAAATCATGAATTTAGCTGTAGGGTTCAGACTTAATAGCATCCAAAACTCCTTCCAGCTCTAAATCTAAGACCCTCTGATTCTATGATCACATATGCCTCTGACACAAGAGTTTTGCTGAAGAAGAAAATGTGGAAAAAAGCAAAATTCTTCTAATCATTCTCTCCATGAGCAAGTTAAGCAAATGCTCATCAATGCAAGAGGTCAAAGGATACCTGACAGAAAGCCAAACAAAGATACCTGTAGGAAAACAGTGACAATTCTTGAGTAAAACTTAACAGATCTTAATAATTTTATCTATTCGATCCAACAAATATTTACTGAGACCCCTACTATGTGCACCAGACAAAACAAAACAAAACCTCAAAACCTGAGGAAATCGAAATGAATTGAGCACCAACTGGACTAGAGAAGGAGGACATGGAAGCTGGTGTCCCTTCCATGCTATTATTAAGTAAATTTATTTTGTATTAAGAGTTGAATGGACTATAATTGTCTCAATTTGTTCTAATCCTGGAATACCTCACAAGGTTGCTGGGAGAAGAGCTCTTTGTGAGGTCAGTGTGATTCTCATACATAAGTGGGAGGAGGGAGGAATAGGAGGGTCTGGAGGAGGAGGCAGAGGGGTCAGGAGAAAAGCACAGCCCAGGGAGCTACAGCAAGGCATAACTCGGCATAATGAGGCACAGCACGTTCTGCCTGGCCACATCTCCACCCCTATCGGTGTTGGGCAGTGCTAGTCCCCAGGAAGATGGCAGACACCTTCCACTCCACATGATGCTCCCCTGTCATCCTGGCTTCTGTTTCTGTTTCCTCCTCTTCTGCCTGAGGAGCTCTTTTGGAGAGAACCAGGACTTCTCAGAGCCACAAGTTCTACTGATAGGCTCACTTCCCCACGTACAACAGTATGAAGTGGTTGAACCTCTCCAGTTACCCATTTTAGGGATTCTGAGAGAACTTTCTTCAGATGCAGCTGTGCATCCTGAGATTGTCCGCTACCACCTAGGCCTGAGAGACCATAACTTTACCCTTCACCTCCTTAGAAACAGGTACCTAGTGGGGTCAGACTACACAGAAACCTACACTTTGGCTAATGGCACAGAGGTGACTGAGCGGCCAAAGGAAGAGAAGCATTGCTTCTATCAGGGTCATGTGGAGGGGCACCATAATTCCTCTGCCAGCATCAGCACCTGTGATGGCATCCGGGGCTTTTTCCAGATTGGGTCTACCATCCATCTGATCGAGCCACTAGTTCAGGGTAGATATGGCAGTAACCAGGAGAGACAAGGCAATGCCCAGGAGAGATATAGTAATGCCCAGGGAAAACACGCAGTCTATAGGGAAAGGCATTTCAAGAAGAAACTGAGCCTCTGTGGTGTCCCCAGGGCCACCCTACGTAGAGAACTAGAGACAAAGATGGCTACAGTCAACATGCCCCTGAGCTGGGTGCCTGGATCCATCCCAAAAGACACTCACTATGTAGAGCTCTATGTGGTGGTGGAGCACACAGAGTTCAAGAAATACGGGAACCTTTGGAATATACGCAATAGGGTGAAAGAGGTCGTGAATCAGATAGATAGATTTTATCAGCTGCTCAATTTCCGTGTGGTTCTAATTGGTCTGGAAATATGGGACAAAGGTAACAAGGCTGCAATCACCAAAGACATACAGTCTTCCCTGAACAACTTCCTGAAATGGAGAGAATATGATCTAATCATGAAGAAGAAGCATGATAATGCCCAGCTGATCACAGCATTGGATTTTGGAAGAGGTGTGGGACTAGCCAGATTGGGTTCCATGTGCACATTAGGTTCTGGGGGTGTGAACCAGGACTATGACTCACATCCATTTGGACTAGCAACCTCCATAGCTCATGAAATGGGACACAACCTTGGCATGGACCATGACGAAAATATCAAGGGCTGCCGGTGTGAGGTCAGCAAGATGCAAGGTGGGTGTGTCATGCAATCCATGGGGGTTGATAATGCCTACCCCAAGCAGTTCAGCAGCTGCAGCAAGGATAATCTGCAGAAGTTTCTTAGGGGGACTATCTTCCAGGCTAACTGCTTGACCAACTTCCCAGACCTGGAGCAGAATAAGGGAGAGCCTGTGTGTGGGAACAAGTTTGTGGAACGAGGGGAGGAGTGTGATTGTGGCCTTCCATGGGAGTGTTTGAATCTGTGCTGTAACCCTGTGAACTGCAGGCTGGCCCCAGGAGCTGATTGTGTCGAAGGGGAATGCTGCCAGCAGTGTCATTTCACCGAAGCCGGAGAGCTCTGTCGGGATGCTCAGGATGTCTGTGACCTGGCTGAGTACTGCAATGGCCGACAGGCTAAATGTCCAGAAAATGTGTACAAAGAGAACGGCACACCATGCTGGGAGGGCTACTGTTACAATGGGGCCTGCCCCACTTATAAGCAGCAGTGCGAGGCACTCTGGGGCACAGGATCACGAGTGTCTGATGACAAGTGCTTCTGGTTTGGGCTTCCTAGAGGATGCACACTAGCTGATTATCCTGCCAAAAGGGGCTTCAACAAGTGTGGGGACCTGTACTGCTCCAGGGCTAGCACAAGTCCCCCCTCCAGGGCTCTGTGCACCTTCATTTTGGGAGGTAAAAGGTGTGACCTTGCTGTAACACAGATCAAAAGCCATAATCCTTTCAAGATTGTGGCCACTGGCACAAAGTGTGGTGAGCAGATGGTGTGCTACCATAAACGCTGTCAGGGCCTCAGTGTCTATGGCTCTGAGGACTGTTCCAGTCAGTGCCATAATCATGGGGTCTGTAATCACAAGAGAGAATGCCACTGTGAACCAGGCTGGGCTCCTCCGTACTGTCAATCACAGCAATTTGGGTTCAAAACAGAAATATTAAGCCCTGGGTGATTAATGTGGAGGAGAGTTTTGGAATATTCCAAAAAAAGTAAAAGATGAACAAATAATTGGTTGCAACAAGTGGATTAGGTGCTTTTCATTGTTCTGCCTGGGGACAGAGAATGAAATTTCTTCATGGTCCCTAAGGGTAGTAATGGATAGCCTGCCCCCATGCTTGGTAAGAATGTGAAGCTATCTAGAAGACAATCTCAGAGCCCTGATTCTCCACGTAGGACCTGTCTTTCTGTCATTGAAGTCCTTGGGGCATATGCCCAACAGTATGATACTGGTTCAAAGGATCTGGGTTCTATAAGTGACCTTTCTTATATAGTAACAAATTATTTTCCAGAATAGTTGGAACAATTCACAACTCTACTAAGAGGGAATTAGTGTGCCTGTCTTCCCATAGCCTCTCCAAAATTAACTACTTCTATTTTTCATCATTTTTGCCAATTTGATGGGTATTGGTTGAAACCTCAGATTATATTAATGTCCATTTCTCTTATTATTAATTATTTAGAATTTTTTTTTCATATGATTATTGATCATTTGTCCATCTTTGGCAAAACCATATCCATTTTCTTCTCAAAAATATTTAAATACTATTTCACTGTTTTCACAAATATACAAAAATTTTATTTTACTTCTATTTTATTATAGGAAACAGACCCAGATAAGTTAAATGACTTTGCCATAGTCTCTTAGGGAGGGGAGTTGAGGCAGTTCAAAGCCTTCTCTACCTCTCTATAAAAGCTAAAAAAAAATTAAAACTCCTTCCATAAGAACCAAAAGGGTAGGAAAGAGGCACCAGGGAAGGGTCTGAAAGGATTCCAGGGGGATTGCTAGGGCTAGAGAATGTCTTTAATAGCATGGTCCCATCCATGGGCAATGCGGAATTGTAACAGGAGAGGGGGGATGTCATAGGGCTCAGTCCTTGTTAGCCTAGGGCCACATTTTTCTGGAAAATGTTCATTTTGCCTACTCCACAGGGGCCAGGAGCAGGAGGGGAAGGAAAGAAAAGACAGGGGGAGGAGGTATCAGTCTTGGGGGCAGATTCACTGTTGACATTTCAGGTGCAGGGAAGGTGGTCCGATTGGGTGAAGTCTTAGGAATACAAGTAGCATGGGTAGGCCATCTGCCTCTAGTCATGTTATTTTAAGTCAACTCATTTAAGCCAGTGAAAGTCCATGGCACTTGAACTAGGTATAGGAGTAGGGCTTCTCTCCTATGTGGGTCCTACAGTGGGCCTTGAGGTTGGAACATTTTTTTTTTTGCTTTTTGGTGAGGCAGTTGGGGTTAAGTGACTTGCCAAGGGTAACATGGTTAGTAAGTGTTAAGTTTCTGAGACCGGATTTGAACTCAGGTCCTCCTAACTCCAGGGCCAGTTCTCTATCCACTACACCACCTAGCTGCCCTGAGGTTGGAACTCTTGCTGTATGACTTCCTTCAGCTGGAACCTCTCTCAAGTCTGCCTGTGGTCCAGCAATTACACCTCTGTCCCTTGTCCAACAGTCAAACCAGTCTGGACCGTGCTCTCACTTCAGCCTACCAGAATATATCCTAGTACTGGCAGTCCCTGTGAAAACAGTGTCTCCAAGGTTCTAAGAATTGTACCCCAGCAGATGCATTCTCTCCAAGAAAAGGTGTCCAGGTGAGCAAGAGAAAATCAATTAAATAGAAGTCATTACAAATGATAGTTCAGCTGGTCAGCTAAGAGTGCTTGCAAGTCTAAACTAAGGGCTAACCTTTTCCCTAAAAGTGAGCAGGGATAGTGCCTCTTTTATCTTGAATTTCACACCTCTGATATTTTGAGGTGTGGCAGAGAAATATAATTCCATTCTTGGAGACAGAAAAAAGAGTGCTTAGCCTCCATGAGTGCCTGCCTCTCTCTCTCTCTCTCTCCCCAGACAGACTGAGGTCAGTGTCCATACAGTTCTTGCTTCTCCTTTCCTTGGCAGAGGCGGCCCAGGCCTCAGATCTTATCTATTCATGTTACTGATGAGAGAACCTATGTGAACAGTTGTGCTTAATAAGTTGCATTACTGTTAACAGTTATTTTTTTTTAACCTATAAATTCATGGTTTGAGAATGGAAGAGGGAAAGCTAGCTCATGGGAGAAAAAATGTCTCTGGTTTACTCTGCAGTTTAGGTCAAGTTGATTAGAGAAAGGGTTCTGTAATTTTGGTAATTTCTGAAAAAGCCTACTAGGTGATCCTTGGACCTAAAGAGAACGAATAAAGAGATGAGCCAGTTAGCAAATAATTCTGGGTGTTGGTGTGGTTGTCCCTGACTGTACCCGAGAGGCACTATTTGCACTTTTGCTCATACCGTTTTACTTCTCCAGTACTGCGCTAGAATTTGGAATTGCTCTCAGCGTAATTTCCAAGAGAAATCTCCCTCCCCAGGAAATCTCCCTTCTCTGGTTGGAAGGCTGCCTTAGAAATATTCTTTCTTCTACACAGGAAGCCCATGAAAGCAAATATATACAGGGCATCTCAAAAGTCTTGGTGCAGTTTCCATCTTTAATAGCTTAAAAGTGCACTAAAACTTTTGGAACACCCTGTATTTGCTTCTGCAGTACACTTCTACAGGAATTCTATCATTGCTCCAACCACCAACATCTCTTTGACTAGGGAAAATCCTTTACCAGGTCTCTTGTCTCTGATCTGTGTTCAGAAAGCATGTAACTCTGTTTGTGACCCGGGGCCACTATTACAGTATATTCACAGGAGTGTACATATACAGGTGACTATATACACACAGGTGCATCCATGCCAAGAAACAGGTACACTTGGCTGTCAAAACTGAATGGAGGCAAGGCAAAGCAATGAACATTTATTTATCTCCTATTAGTGCCAGACCGGGGTGAAGAACCTGTGGCCTCGGCCACATGTGGCTTTCTAGGTCCTCGGGTGCAACCTTTTGACTGAATCCAAGTTTTACAGAACAAATCCTTCCTCTCATGCTAGACACTGCTAAGGGCTAGGGACACAAATAGAAACAAAAAGAAAGTTCCTGTTCTCAAGGAGCTTATATTCTAATGTGAAAAGTCAATACAAAAAAGGGAGCTGAAGATCAGAAAAGGGGTGGGATTGAGGGAGAGAAATTACCCCTCTATGGGACATGGTGAAATTCAGTGTCTGAAGCATAGTCCAGAGGGGAATAAAGGTTTACAGCCTGGGCCCATCTCCAAAATGGAGGCCCCTTCAAGGAACTCAGACAATGGGAGAAGGGGAGAAGGGTGGCAAAGGGATGTGAAAGGATGAGAAAGCTATAGGAGAAGGTAGATGTTCCAGGGTAAGAAGGCCACTGGAAAAGATGGATATTCTAAGGTAAGGAGGTCCCAGGTGCTATGGGAGGTTCCGTGGTGACACTACAGTCGAAGCATGGTATGATTGGGAACAGTCTCTTGTGTCTCTTTCATAGGAAGCACAGGATGCCCCCTCTCCCTACTATCATTTGACGTAGTTCTTTAAAGGCTATCGTGAGCATTAGGATAAGAAAAAAAATTAAAGTCTTTTATGAGGCTCACAGAGGGGTGGATCCTCCATATTAGAATCCTTCCTCCCTGGTGTCCCAGTTAATAGTTGCAATAATTCCAGTCCTCGAAAACCAAACAAAAGCCACTCCCTCTAATGTTAACAAGGTAACAATCGATATGTTCATGCTCTATAGCAATAATCTCCAAACTTTTTAAATAATGCACTCTTCTCAGTGAGAAGACTCAGTGAGAAAACACTCTCTCAATATATTTACTGTATAGCTACTTATTTTTGTTATGTAATGTATTCATTTATTAATAGTTATATATGTTAGAAATCTTAAAAAATAGAAATTTAAGAGAATGAGCTAAAGATGAAATAATATTTGTTCCTAGAACCAAAAAGGAGTCACTTGAGTTTACTGAGTAAAAGAGAGACATAGTAAGTAACCTTCATTTTAGGAAAATCACTTTGGTAGTTGTATGGAAGAAAATTGGAGAGGGAGACACTTAGACAGGGGCATCGACTAGAAAGATATTGCAATAGGCCAGGCAAGCAGTGATAAAGACCTGAACGAGGGTGGTACTTGATGTGTGACAGAGAGAAGGAGACAGATATAAGAAATAATTTGGAGGCAAAGGCAAGACTTGGCACCTGAGTGGGTAGGGGGAGTGAATGAGAACGAGGAGTTGAAGATTCCACCAAGGTTGGCAACTTTAACAGGGTTGTACTCCTAGCTCATAACAGGATAGTTCACACAGTGGAGGAAGGGGGCAGGATAAAAGAGTGAGGGGCAATTAGGGTAGGTGTGTTTGTATTGGACACAAAATTGGCTATCACTGAGAAGGTAGGATATGACCCATATTCCCCCCTTCTGATTAGTTGATCACAATCCCTTGGAATTGGACCACAGCTACCACTTTAGAAAGGACATTTTATAAGGGGAGAGTTATACTCATAAAATTGATTGGAAAGAACTCCCTTGATCATCACCCCAGTTATGTTTAGTAATGAGTGGCACATAGTAGGTGCTTATTAAGTACTTAATACTTACTTATTAAGTAAGTGCTTATTGATTCAAAATCCTTAGTCTGACATTTAAAGCTTTCCACAATCTGGATCCCACCTACCCTTCCAATCAAACAGATCTACAATTTGACATAAGCAACCCTCTACCTCTCAAGTCAGTTCTTTTGCACAGGTGAGTACCATCCTATCTGAAATGCACTCTCTCTATAACTTTACCTCCTAGAATCCCTAGCTTCCTTCAAAACACACTTCTGGTGCTACCTCCTATATAAGGCTTTCCCTGAGTTCAAATCAATCCCAGAACACTTACTAGCTGTGTGACTCTGGGCAAATTACTTAAATGCTATCTGTCTCAGTTTCTTCTATTGTAAAATAGGGATAATATCAGCACTTACCTTCCAGGGTGGTTGTGAGGATCAAGTGAAATAAAATTTGTAAAGTGTTTAGCATAGTGACTGGCATATAGTAGGCACTTAATAAATGTTGTCTTCCTGATACCCCTAGTTAACGTTCTTTCCTTCTTGAATTTACTCTGTATTCCTTTGTATATATTTTGTGTTTACTTATTACACACATGTAGAAGAATGCAACGTTTATCTCCAGTCCAGAAATAATTTTTGAGTTACAGACCTGAATCTTCAACTCTAAGAACATACAAGAATGAATGAACTCTTTAGCTGGGAGAAACTCGAGCTCCCAGATCAAAACAGAAGAAAGAGCCTGATCTTACCCAAGGAGATCTATTCCAAGCATCTAACAAGGCAAGCTGGAAATCAGGGACATGTACAGGAACTGACTTTTCTTTTAGGCCTGCAGCTTCTCTTTCAATGAGTGTCTCACCTGAAGAATTTCTAGAACTACCCAGGTCTCTCCCAGAAAAAAAGTTATACACCCAGCTCCACAAATCCATCAGGAACCCAGTGTAGGGATCAGCATCCTTTCATTTCAGGCAAAACATCTCTGACTAAGCTGGAAGGGAAGTATTCATTAAGCCCTTACTATGAGCCACCTAGGTTTGGAGTCAGGAAGACCTGAGTTCAAATCCTCTTTCAGGAAGCCTTCCCTGATTCTTCTTCTCCTTCTTTGTGTTTTATTTGGTAACTCTCTAATACACAAATTACATGAAGATTTGTCAATGTTGGGATCTCCCTCTAAAGTCTATGATTTGGTAGGTAAATCCTAGGGAGTTTCCTGAGGTTCACTGAAGTTAAGTGACAATCATGGAGCTAGTAAGTGACAGAAAAAGGAATTGAACCAAGTTCTTCCTATACCCCTACCTAATACACTTTATTTTATAATACTTTTTTAGTTCTCTATGGTTGGTGCCTTATCCCTCTTTAAACTTCTTGAGCTTAGGGCTATGTTTTATCTAACCTTTGCTTTTTTTTTTTTTTTTTTCTTTTTGGTGAAGCAATTGGGGTTAAGTGACTTGCCTAGGGTCACACAGCTAGTAAGCGTCAATTATCTGAGATCGGATTTGAACTCAGGTCCTCCTGACTCCAAGGCCTGAACTCTATCCATTGCACCACCTAGCTGCCCCAACCTTTGCATTTTCCCCATTGCTTAGTGGTTTGCTATGCGTATTTTATTAGCTGACTTTTTTTTCATCATTTAGTCAACAAGGATTTATTAAGTGCTTACTCTGTGCTAGACACTGTGCTAAGTCCTAAGGATTTAAAGAAAGGCAAAAACACAGTCCCTGTGCTCAAGGAACTCATTCAAATGAGGGAAACAACATGCAAGCAGCCATGTACATAAAAGATACATGCAATATAAATGAAAGGGAATCTCAGAGAGAAGGCATTAGCAGTGAGAGGAGGAGGCAGGAATAGACCATGAAAGATCTCTTGATGAAGGTCAGATTTGAGCTGAGTTTTGAAGGAAGCCAGAAGACAGAGGTGAGGAGGGAGAGCATTTCAGGCATGGGGGATATCCATTAAAAAGGCATGCAGTCATGGAGTCAGAAGATGAACTATCTGTCAAGTATGAAGAATGTCAGGGAGGCCAGTGTTGCTAGAACCTGGAGTACATAGAGGGAAGTAAAGTATCAAGACTGGAAACACAGGAAGGGGTCAAGATAGAAAAGGTTTTAAAAGCCAAACTCTGATTTTCATATTCAGTACTGGAGATAATAGGGAGA